CGGGGTCGCATCGCTGGAGTCCGCGTCCGTGAACACCTGCCCACCCGGTAGTGGGCGGGGGTAGGGGGGGAAGAGCCCCGGAGGCCACGGCCAGGCTCATCCGTGCCCATCCTCGCAGCTGGCAGAGACTGAGCCCGAGGTGGACGTGGAGGTGTACCGGCGTGACTCCAAGAAGCTGCCGGGCCTCGGGGACCCTGACATTGACTGGGAGGAGAGCGTGTGCCTGAATCTCATCCTGCAGAAGGTACAGTGGGGGGCGGGGCTCCCGGAGGAGGGCTGTCTAGGCACCGAGGGACAGCAGACCCCTCCACGCATGCCGTCCTGCGCGCTCTCTTCCAGCTGGACTACATGGTGACATGCGCCGTGTGCACGCGCGCCGATGGGGGGGACATCCACATCCATAAGAAGAAGTCCCAGGTAAGCAGTGGGGCTGAGGGCCCGCGGGCCTCCTGACGGCCAGCGCAGCCCAGAAGTGGCAGCCACCGGCTGCTCAGGGTTTTGGTGGGGGGACACCACCCGCCCCCTCCTCCTTCCCTGCCTCGAGGTGAACGTCTGACCAGAAAGCCACGCGGCTCCTGGGGTCCTGTGTCGCCTGCAAGGAGCTCACAGAACCAGGTCGTCCCCAGCAGCTCCTTGCGGAGCGACGTAGGACCTGACCTGGCTTTGGCCTGGCCCTGAGCAGCGTGACCACAGCGACCTGTCCCTCGAGTGGCTGTGGGCCTGGGTGCGGGGGTCGGGCCTCGCTCAACCCTCCACATCTCCTTCCTTTCAGCAAGTGTTCGCGTCCCCCAGTAAACACCCCATGGACAGCAAGGGCGAAGAATCCAAGATCAGCTACCCCAACATCTTCTTCATGATCGACAGCTTCGAGGAGGTGAGCCACACGCGCCCAGCCATGTCTCCCCTCGGGCTCCCGGTCAGGGGCGCGGAAAGCTGGCCTCCCTGGGGCCTCACGTGCTTGCAGACAGGCGAGGGCGGTCCCGATCCGACCCCTGCGGCTCCCCCTCTTCCTGGTGCTGGACTTGGGGCCGGGGGGCCCCCCTAGCCCTGAGCCTGTTTTCTTATCTGTGAAATGAGCGCCACGATCATGCGTCCTACTTACCTTACCCGTCAGGGTCGAAGATCAAACGAGCGCATGGGTGGAAAGATGCGTCATGAACGCCTATAAAAAGGGCTGCCCGGGCAGGAGTCATTAGTGTCTCCGTGAAAACTCCAAATAAGTGCCTCCCCGCCTTGGGATGCTAAGACGTCAGGGGGGCCGGGCTTCGGAAGTTTCTGGGCCAGTCTGGGAAAACTGGGACGCGCGGCAGAAAGTGACTCACCCGGGGAGCACCGGGCGCACCTGCCCCCACTCCGCTCCTGCCCAGCTGCTCTCCTCCTCCGAGGTGCTTGTACTCGCCTGCAGGTGGCCAGGACCCCAGGGAAGGCTCGCAGGGAAGGGAGCACATGTTGCGGGGTCTCACCTCAATTTCACGGCGCCTTGAAGCACCACCTTAGTTAGGCTCAGGGGACGAAGTGCCCTCTCCAGGCTCGCACAGCCCGTGCGTGGCACAGCCGAGATTTGAACCTGAGTGTGGGTGACCTGGAAGCTGGGTCTGCGCACCAGCTCCTGGAGCAGTGACAGGATGCAGAGCCCCCTGTGGACCGGTCTCCCAGGTGGATGGCCACTCTGGGTGCTCCTGAGGGCAGGGGTGGGGCGGCTGGGGCTGGGTGCCCGAAGCCAGAGGGAAGGACACGCTGGACAGCGGGATGGACAGACCACGTGCGCCATTCAACTCCAAACTCCACGTGAGGGCATGCGATGAGCGTCATCGTCCTCCCAGTGGCCAGGAGGTGGTGCATCCCCTTCCTGTCCCAGAGTCACTGTTGTGAACCTCCCCCCGCCATGGTTAGGCCGCCCCTGTGCTGGTCCCTGTGCCACAGGGGCGGGGCTGCGGCCCTGGGCGAACAGCGTGACATCTGTGTCCCCTGCCGGATGGGAGCTTCTGAGCAGTCCTCCTGGCGGCCCCGGGCAAGGGAGGGGTGGTGGCCTGGGAGGCAGCCATTGGTTTGGGAGGTGGGCAGCTGACACTTGTCCCCTCTCCTCCTCTGTGCCCCATCCCAGGTGTTCAGCGACATGACAGTGGGGGAAGGAGAGATGGTCTGTGTGGAGCTGGTGGCCAGTGACAAAACCAACATGTTCCAGGGTGTCATCTTTCAGGGCTCCATCCGCTACGAGGCACTCAAGAAGGTGTATGACAACCGAGTACGTGTGTGGGTGGCCCCGCGGCCCCTCTGTCCTGGTCCGGCTCCGCCTGGTGCCGTCCCCGCCCCTCCTCCGCACCTGTGGCCCCGCGCGCCTCTAGGTGCTTCGGGGCCTGCGTTAATGTTCCTCCTCGCTGATCCGGGCACGCTTGATCCGAGGGACAGGAGGCCCCACCCCGAGTGCGGACACTCCTGAAGCCGGCCCTGGCTGGAGGGAACGGGGAGGAACCGGGTGGACAGGCCGCTGTCTTGCAGCCGGACACCGTCCTGAGGCCGGCCCCTCCCAGGACACTAGTGACTTGTGTCCCCAGGAAGAGCCCATCCCTCCGTGCGCTGACTCAGGCCGTCCCCCGCCTGCCCACAGGTGAGTGTGGCTGCCCGCATGGCACAGAAGATGTCATTCGGCTTTTACAAGTACAACAACATGGAGTTTGTGCGCATGAAGGGGCCCCAGGGCAAGGGCCACGCTGAGATGGCAGTCAGCCGTGTGTCTACTGGTGACACATCCCCCTGCGGGACGGAAGAGGACTCCAGCCCGGCCTCACCCATGCATGAGCGGGTAAGGGCTGCACAGCTCGGGGAGGGGCCTCCCGTCCCTCGGATCCGCTTCCCACCGCCTCCCTGGTCCTTACAGCCCCCCGGTGAGGTAGGTGGCATCACCCCACCCCTCGGGTGAGGAGGCCGGGGTTCAAAGAGGGCAGTGACTTGCCCAAGGTCACACAGCAGGTCCGTGCGTGGGCCAGCTTCCCTGAACTGCCAGCTGCAGCTGGGCTAAGCCTAAGGGGAACCCGGGCTGGTCCTGGCACCTGCCTCCGGGGACACGCTGGCCGAGCGTGGGCACACAGCCAGCCTTCCCTGGGGACTGCCTTGGGGATGACGATGAGTTAGCCTCTCCTCCTGCCCTGTGAGGATGAGCGGGAGAACGCGAGGTCCCGGAGCCGCCCAGCTCTTCCCTCGGCCTGGCCCACCGGTTTACCAGGTGTCGTTCATGTCGAACTCTAGCAGCAGCCCGTGGGTAGTCATGGGTGTTCCTGTCTGCTTGCCGGATTTACTGGCGCTGCCCTAGGTCACACGGCTCTCGGGTGGCAGCACGGAGCCTTTGAACCCCGCTCTTTCTAGGCCACCGTCCTTCCGCAGGGGTGGGAAGCCGAGGTCGGTGGCAGCTGTATTCCCAGGGCCTCCCGTGGGGCCCAGGGCTCGGGCGGGAGAAAGTCTGCCACCCGCTGGCTGCTTTTGCCCCGCTCGGGGCTGTGGGTCTTGGCAGGGGTGAGGTGAGTGAGGGTGCCGGGGGCCGGGAAACAGCTTTCGCCAGCCCGCCTCCAGGAAAGGACTTGGGGTGAGACACCGTGGGCTGGAACCCGGGCACCGCTGCTCGCGTGACCTGGGACCAGTCTCTTCCCATCCAGAAGCGGGGAGCCCCGCGGTGGTGGGAGGCTCAGAGTTGCTGCTGAACACAGGACACCTGACTCGGGCGTCACCACTGGCTGTTGACCTGCTTGGGAGAGTGACTCTGAAGGGCGTAGAACGCCCTTAGTGCTGACGTGCCCGAGATGAGGAAGCCTGTGTTTGCTACGCTTCTTAGTGTAAAACTGTTAGCTGCGCATATGCCCAGGCAGCCAGATAGCAGGTGTCTCTCTCTCCTTCGTAGCCCTTTTGGTTTTGTTCCTTCTGCAACGGATGTGTTTGAGAAGCAAAATAAACATAATAAGTGCTATTTTTTTTTTTTTTTTTTTTTTTTTTTTTTTTTTTACCAAGACCAGGGTGGGGGTTCCAAGCGGAGGCTTCCCCTATCCGTGAAATAGAGGCTGTTGATAGATTTCTGAGCTGACGGCGGAGAAAAGGAGTCTGACTCCTCTCCCCGGCCCTGCAGAATGTGTACGTGAAAGTCCTCGCGAACAGAGAGATGTGTTACTGGACTTGCCCGAGTCTTGCTGTTCCCATCCATCGAGTGGCAGTGACAGTCCCTCCCTCCCGGGGTGGTAGTTGGGGGAGAAGGAGAGGGCACCTGGCTCAGAGTCTCAGGGAGGCCCCGGGTCGAGGGAAGGGACCCGCCAGGGTCATGCAGGTGCCGGTGGCGGGGCCTGACCTCCTGGGGACTGCTCCGGCCCCCCCGCCACCTCTGTGCTTCCTGCCGCTTGCCCCCCTTTACCAGAGGGGTCCTTTGTAACCAGCTCATGACAAATACAGACTGTGTGTGTATTGTGGTATCTGGTGTTTTGTTTTGTTTTTTCTATCTTTTAAAAACCTTCCCTGGCTTGTGGGAGGACCGTCTGCAGCCCAGCGGCCGCCGCGACTTTGCTGGATGTCGGAAGCCGTGACGAGGAGGCTGATGGGGCTCCTGAAGTCTCAGTCCCAGCTCACGTTGTTCCTCAGATTCTTGTTTGCGTGGGGAGGAGGGAGGAGATGGGCCAAGTTCCCTCTGCCTGGAACGCCCTTCCCCCCCTTCTTCACCTGGCGAACTGCTACTCGTCCTTCAAGACCCATCTCAAGCGGCGTCTCCTCCAGGAAGCCTTTCCTGATGTCCCAGGCTGTCGACCCCTTTTGCTCTGTGCCCCCCTGTGTCCTGTGCTTCCCTTTTTGTGTCTCAGCAGCCAGCATTCAGTCTGTGGTTGTCGCTTTCCGAGTGTGTCGCCCCCACAGCAGACTGTGAGCTCCTCGAGGGCAGGGCCCGGTGTTGTGTGCCTGTCTGTCCCTTGTGCTGCGCCTGCCTGGCCCCGCGTGGGTGTCCAGAACGTTTGGTGCCTGAGCGGTGTGGTTACGAGAGACGAGGGGACGGAAGCGTTGGCTGCTTC